CCCCCCCCCCCCCCCCCCCCCCCCGGTGCCCGGTGCGTGGACACTTGCCTCCTAGAGGGCCTGGGAGGTGGATGTGGAGGCCGACGACAAAGATGAGGGGGATGACACTACCCCAAGCGAGGCGTTTTTGTCGTTACAGAGGGAACTAGAGGAGAAGGAGAAGATCCAGCAGGAGAACGCAGAGAGGGCGAAGAACCAGGAGGCTCTTGCTGCAGAGGCGGCGAACAGCCTGCGGAGAAAGGTGGTATTTTTTGCGCGAGCGTCGTGTGTCGATGACGCACAAACGCTCACGAACATACACGCGGGCTTGGTGATGGTGACTCTTGCGTGGCTCTCGTGTGCGGTGTTTGTAGAACGAGCAGGGTAGCCTAGATAGATCCTCCAAACTTTTTGCTGTCGGTCATGGCGTGCTCAGTCACGACATGCGAACAGTATGAGGCACCTTCTGTGTCTTGTTTGGTGTTTTGGTTGAAGATGCTCGTGCACTGGGGCTGCACTTGCTGGTAAGATACCGCCGCTGAGCAATGGGCGCGTCACTGGAAGCTTGTTCCAATATTGAAACACATCAACTTGAAAATAGCTTGGATTCTTCAGGTCCTTGCGGGATCCCACGTCCTGCGCTTGCGGGACCGGGGTACGAACTGTTTTACCGTCGGTTGTGTGTGTTTTCCTGGAAACATGCTCCAATATTGAAATACATCAACTTGAATACATCAACTTGAAAATACCATGGATTCTTCACGCCCTTGTGGAATCCCACGTCTTGCGCTTACGGGACCGTGGTACGAACTATTTTACCGTCGGTTGTGTGTGTTTTCCTTGGCAGAAGCTTCTCCCCTGGCACACCGTCGGCAAGCGCTTGCGCACCTGCGGTGCGTAATGTCGAGGCAGACTTCCCCCCCTTTCTTTGCTGGTTTTCTTTGCCAACCGCAGCGTCTCGCCAGTATCACGTGCGCACCAGTAAGCACCGAAACTCGAAATTTTACGACATCCATGAAAATCCACACGTTACGAACGCCGTGCCTTGAAGGCGTGGTAAACAGTAGTCTTGGTTAACCCGGTGAACCGCTCTGGGCACCCCACCCACCCACCCTCCCACCCACCCATCCACCCCATCGCGCTCACATATCGATGGATGTACTTCCCGATTATAACTCCGAAAAAAAATAATAACCGGCAGGAAGAAGTGCGGAAGGCGACCACCAAGAACCCGAGAGTGTTCCTCGACATCGAGATAGCAGATGCCACGGGCGCGAAGAGCCGGTTGGCCAAGGGGAAGAACGTCGGGCGCATAACCCTGGAGCTCTTCGAGAACGCCGTGCCGCGGACGGCCGAGAACTTCCGTGCCCTGTGCACCGGAGAAAAAGTAAGTACGTGGGGCCATGGCAGTAGTCTACGTAGGCTTTTCTAAGCAAGCAAACATACTGGAGGAAGTGTGGAATCGGTTGAGTTGGGGTTAGGGGTAGGGTTAGGTTCTGCGTGCCCCCTCCCTGGTCTTTTTTCGCAATAGCCTTACTTATTTTCGTGGCCAGTCCGGCCGTGGAGCTGTGGCTGTCGGTATTGGGGTAAAGGAGCTCGAAGTAGGCGATCGGAAGAGGTCCCGGCGACCTCACGATGCCACCCTTTTTTTCTCTTGCGGCGAGATGACTTGACGCGCTGGGACTGTTATGGCGTAGGCACGGGAGGCACTTTCATCGCGAGGTGTGAGATGTTCCGAGTTTTGAATCCCACTGGCTGCTGCGTGGCAGGTGTGTTGTTTGCGGTTTCGCTTCTTGCCTGCACCGTGCGCTCAGCCTGGGGACGCCGCCGCGCGTGGTTGCCGCGCTGCCATACTACATCAGGAGCGTACTCTATTTTTCCCATGACTGTTTTTTCGCTTGGGGCTGTCCCACACTCTGACATGCTTTTGTCGTCCCGTGCCGTGTCTTTTCTACCGAACCTAAATGCACGTCGTGGCACAGCCGCGGGGGTCGAGTGGATTCCCGCTGAGCTTCCTGGGTAACATTTTCCACAGAATCGTCCCTAACTTTATGGCTCAAGGGGGAGACATTACAAGGGAAGACGGAAGGTGGGAGTGGGAAGGAGGTGGAGAGACAGAGAGAGACAGAGAGAGACAGAGAGAGAGATCAAACATTGGAGGTACAATGAGTGAGAGAAGGACTGGCAGGGAGCGAAAACGTGAGGCACAGGGAGAGAGAAAGTGGAGAGATAGAGGAGAGGGGGGGGGGGGGGGGGGGGG